TTTAGGAATTATTGTGAAAATTCTTGGTTTTACATTTTATAATTTTTTATCTTTATGTTGAAATAAAACGTAAACACTGGATAACAATATGTAAAATTTTATAATTAGTGAAAAATGTAACATATTAAAAATGTTAGACATGGCGAGCATTAAGAATTTGTAAACTCCGTTAACGATAGTAACTATATATGTTTTGTTATCATTCTGCTCATTTCCTTCTTCTAATTTTTTCTTATTCTGTAATTAGGGTACCAACCATAATGAACTCCGGCTTACTCTATCATTAGAAGACTACATATGCTTTTAGTATTGAACTGGATATGACAAAAGAATTTAAAGAGAATAAATCAAACGGCATAAACAAGAAAGATGCAAACCAAGTAAAATGACTACACAAACAAAGATGAAAAGAATCACACAAGACAAGAGTAAACTTACAGATCTCATGTGCTTAGTTTTGAATCCAGTTTCGTTGACGTAGCAAAAAAATTCTCTCGCCATGATAAGAAATCCATATGGATATAGATACTGATGTACAGGTATCAAAAGTGTAGATTCGACAACGGTGGAGTTCGGTAGCTGCCAGTCTTTCTGATTGAAAGTATTACCTGAAAACTCAAGCACTCTAACACGGAAACCAACTCCATCTTGCTACAACATTTGGAGAGAACTAATAGGAGTTGTTGTTAGAGAACTCCTGGAGGTTAAGCGTCCTTTCTTGAAAAGGTCTCACGAAACGCCGCCTCTCTTGTTCTGCTTCAGTTCCATGTATTGTATGTCTGTGTACAAGTTTCTAATCACACTTGCCTTGTCAACAAAAATGTGGATGTAGGGTTTTACGGTATTCATGGATGACCTTAAAAGAATGCATAGAGTGCTCTCTAAGGCGGGTTTGGTGGGTGGTTTTATGGACCGCATTCTGAGTTCCTACAGTCGGGAAAAGGGGAGCAAGGGAAGGAGCCTCTTTTCTCAAGCTCAAGGAGTTGCATATTTGCATTGATAAGATATGGCATAAAAGCTTTAACGAGGATTATGTATTGGATAAGAGCATCAGAGACTCTTTTAAAGATCTAGGTTTGCGTGTGCCGGTATGAAAATATATTTATCACTCCCCTTTTTTTTTCCATCTCTCCCTCCCTAATTCCTCTTACTGATTCTTATATTAAAAAAAGTGTATGTGATTCTTCGTACAGCCCGAATAAGAAGGATTCATTATAAAGGAGGATGGTGAAGTTGTAATGGGAGAAATATGAAATGTATGGTAT